ACTAGCAACCCTAAAGCAACTGAAAAAAACTCCTCCCTGCCACACATGCACTTTTTAAAAATAATGTATGTGTGTGCGGGGGGAGGGGGGAATGTTGGAGGGTTCATACTTGTTAGAGGATTCAGACTTCAAAGTGCTGAGCTGTCTCTTAAATTGCTGGTCATTTGGCATCTCTCTAGTAAAATATGTATATTAACAAAATTCCAAAAGAATTCACTTGAACAGAGACCAAGCTTGGAAAATATCAACCTAAAAAAAGAACAGGAGTACTTGTGGCATCTTAGAGACTAACAAATTTATTTGAGCATAAGCTTTCGTGGGCTACAGCCCACTTCATCGGATGCATAGACTGGAACATACAGCAAGAAGATATTTATAAATATAAATATGTATAAATATCTTCTTGCTGTATGTTCCAGACTATGCATCCGATCAAGTGGGCTGTAGCCCACGAAAGCTTATGCTCAAATAAATTTGTTAGTCTCTAAGGTGCCACAAGTACTCCTGTTCTTTTTGTGGATTCAGAATAACACGGCGGCTACTCTGAACCCTACAAAAAGAAATTTAGAGAAAGGTATCACGGAGTGAAAATGAGTTCTAATAAAACCTGGTTTTGCACTCTTAACTGTAGCATTAGCTACCCCAAAAATGATGATAGAAATATCTGAATTATTATAAGTCCCATGGCCTATGTTATACAGGAGGTCAGACTAGATGAGCCCAATGGATTGTTACACATCTGGCTGTCCATTAGCAAGGTTCTGCTCTTACTGATCTGGATGTACCAAATACCAATCAAAAACTTGTGACTGGTACGTTTCAAAAAAGATTTTAGAAGGCAAAAGTGGCTTTGTTTGTTTTCAAATTGGTCAGCCGGTGGCCAGCTGTCACATGCAAAGCGTGATGCGGAAGTTTCACCAGAAAGGCAGCATGTGTAGCCTGACCATGAGTTTCCCTAGCAAGTCCATTGAGGGTGGCAAATAATGTTTAGCAAACAGCATTTTGTTGTGGCTGATTCCCTCATTTAGTTTGTTATTTTGACAATAACAAACCAAATTCAGTTTTCTTACAATTCCTCTAAGTTTTGGATGACCAAACGTCCTGTTTTTAAAGGGATAATCCCATATTTAAGCCCTCCTGCAGATGTCACAACTTTTTCTTAAAAATGGACAAATTGTCCTGTATTTTCTGTCTCTCCACATCAGTACTGGCGGGTCCTGCTGCTGGCTGGATCCCTGCTTGCCAGCTGCCCGCCCACCAGTGGTGATGCGGGGGGGTCTGGTGATGGGTGTGGGTATGCAAGGCTGGTGGCAGGGTGAAGATGCAATGTGTGGGGCCAGCCATTCCTCCTGCCGGTCGGTCACCGCAGCCCCCGCTGCGTGCCAGCTCTCGGCCAGCAGGACCACGCCCGCCTGTCCCGTTTCCGTCCGGCACCAGCTGTGCGCTGTGAGCTGCGGTGGCTGCTGAGTGTGGGCAGGCGCCAGGCGGCGACCGGTTACATGTCGCCTCTGCTGCCCACCCATTGGCCCTTTACGTGCTCCTCCTCTAGCTGTCCTCTCTGCTTTGCCCCTTCCTCTCCCCCCAGCCCTGCTGCTCCTCCATATCCCACCCGGCGGAGTGCATCTCACTCCCAGCACTGTGCAGAGAGCCAGCCCCTGGTCGGAGTGCTCAGCTTACTAACAGCCTGGCTGACAGGCTCCTTCCTTCCCCCACTGCCTCTGGCTGGGCTGGCGCCCTGGGAAAGCCCAAGACCCTCCGGCCTGGAGCACTGACCAGGAGGAGCCAAGCCCTGCATGTACCAAAGCCCCGCATAGCGCTGGCACGGGAAGCCTCTCCACCCCTCACTAAGCTCTGGAGCAGCGGGGGAGGGAAGTGATTTCCAGCCTGTTTGTGCCCCGACCCTGCAGGCTCCACAGCAGCCTCTGGGGCAGGGACTTAGCACCCTCTTCATACACACCCTCTGCCCTGGGTCCTGCCCCCAGGGAGCACGGGGCTGCTCCATCCCCTAGGCACCTCTCTGGCTGAGTTCACTGAAGCCCGTGCAGTCAGGTTCCCTGGGCCCTGGTGCACAATGCATCCTTAGGGCTTAACCCCTTCCTGCCCGTGCTGTAGCTGGGGGACAGGAGGCAGCTGGGTTATGTTGGTGGCCAGCAGCAGCCTAGAAGTGTTAGCTGCCTTTCAACACTGTGCGGGCAGGAAGAGACAAACTTCTTCCAGCCACACATGGCGGCAGGGGAGGGGGGGGCGGGGGGGAGAGATGAGTTCTGCAAACACATGAGGCAGGTCATCCTCTTCCCCTCCTCCCCCTGCAGCTGGAAGCAGCTCCTGTCCCGTCCCTCCCGCACAGTGCCAAAAGGCTGCTGCTGGCCACATTCTGGTGTGAACCCTGACAGAAATCTGGAGGGGGGGGGGCATGTGACCCTGCGTGCCCCCCGCCCACATGTTGCCTCGGGAAGACGCGGTGCCAGGTACCAGCCAGGCATGGAGGGTGGAGAGCACCGGGCAGGGAGGGTCAAGTTGGTTGGTCACTCCTGCTGTGCAAGAAAGGTGTATGGGAGTGTGTGTGTGTCACCTCTCAGTGTCTGGGGGAGGGGGAAGGGTGTATGTGTCACCCCTCCCCATGTGGTGTGAACCCTAAAGCCTTAAAGATAAGAAGGTAAATAAAAAGAATCCAACTACACGGTATTTCTTTTTAACAGGGGATCAGTCAACTTGATGTTAATTTGAATGTTTGTATGATTGCTTGCCTTTGAACTCACTTGAATATGAGTAATTTTACCAAGTGTCCCATATTCAGTATAGGGAAATATGGTCACCCTATCTAAGCTCAAAATAACCATTCTTGTATTGGTGTTGAGGAGATAGAAAGATAGAACAACAAGAACTTGCCAACTCTGTAGCAATCAGGGCATGGACATGCCAAACTATGATCTGACATGCAGACACAGGCTTGATTTCTTCAGGATTTCTTGTCATATGACAGCCCTTCTTGCAGTACAGATTATATATATCTCTATGTGTGTTAATAAATAAGGGCTTTATCCTGTGACATACAGAACACTTCTTGTGATATTCTGAGGACCCTGCACTCTCAGCTCTTTGTAAGGTCAAGTCCTTAAAACTTCCCTTAATTCGTATTATCTTTGTTTATCTAGATGTTTAAGAAATTTTTCATTAACTGCTCTTTTCCTTAACTCTGATATAGACATCGAATTTTTATTCAAATTGTAATTATACATGAACTTTTCTTGGACTGCAAACCCACTGCTCAGTGGGAAGCCAGGATTAGCTCTCATGTGAAACCTATAAAGCGAATGAAAGCTTTGGCAATGATGAACTAATTTGGTCTGATGAAAACTGATTTAAACAGGTCTGCAGTGTATTTCAGAGGAATTAGTTTACACATGTACAAATAATAAGAAGTCAGTTGAAGTGGGCTAGCAGAAGACTTGGCAGATCAATCAGCCTTTGAGAAGTTCAATCCAGCTTTCAGGCAATCCATTCACTCTGGAGGGCCAAGTACATCATTTTTAGCTTTGTTAGCTTTGCTGGCCACACCAAAGAGTGAAAGTATCCAAATATTTTCTGTTTCATTTTGAAAATGTTTGGTCTGACGCATAAGTGCTGAGAACACAATACAAATTCCAAGATCTTTGCAGCACAGCCACATTTCAGTGTTTACTCAACTCACAGTGTATTTGGATTTCTCCTCCAATTACACGGATGTCCATGAAAGCACTGATTTCCACCACATAAGTAAATGGAAAAAGAAAATGCACAAAATCTAGAATGAAGCCAGGTCTACACTACAGACCTATATCAGTATAACTATGCCACTCTAGCATGTGAAAAATCCATATTCCTGAGCGAAGTGGTTATACCGACCTAACCCCCCATGTAGACAGTGCCATGTCGATGGAAGAGCTTCTCCTGTCCACATAGCTACCACCTCTCAGGGAGGTGGATTAACTACGCCAACATGAGAAGCTCTCCCGTCAACGTAGGAGCGTCTTCACTAAAGTGCTACTTCCTGTGGTCTGTGTCTCCAGCGGATCATGGTAGTGGACAGAGGCGCTGGAACAGAGGGAGTCTGGGGACAATGGCCCCATCACTTTTTACTGGTTGTAAGGGCAAGCAACGGGGTAAGGGAGCGGAGAGGAGCGAGCGGGGGGCGGGATTTTGGGGGGAAGAGGTGGTACAGAAGTGTGGCATCAGGGGAATGGGCAGCACGAGGATGAGGGCTTGGGGAGAAGGGGTGGCATGGGGGCAGGGCCTTGGGGGGAAGGGGAGGTGTTTGCAGCCCTGCAGGCCTGTGTTCAAAACCCTCTGGGCCTTACATGCTATCTTAATAAACCTTATAATAATAGCACTACCTAATACAAATAACAATTAATAGCAGCAAATGTTTTGGGGGACAGTGCGATGTCATCACAACATCACAATGTGCTGCCATGTAGCATCACGTATCACAAAAATGCAACATCAAATGCACGCATGTGTTCTGACTCCCGCAGTGAAGATACTTTTAAGAATGACTTCCCTAAAATGAGCATTAAATATAAGCCCAAGTCCTGGTGATGAACTGGAATCAAGCATTCACCTTTTAACCCAGAAATGTTACCCACCACATCGCATGGACCTGACGCGGGTCGCTCCCAGGTTTACAGAAAGGGAACGCGTGACTGCAGTAATAATTACAATCTGGGCTGAGGTGAGAGGTAACTGAAGGGAAATGGCTTTAATTTGAAAACAAACATCTACAAAAGCTGGAAACAGGGCAAACTTGGTCTAAGAATGCCTGTGGGGAGAATGGCATGTTTCTAAGTATGTCTCTTAAAAATGCCAGTGAATGTTAAAGTGAGAGGGGTGAGTCATAAGCACATGAGCAGGGAGTTGAGTTGAAGACAAGAAATCATGCATCTCTGCTTAATGCCATCACATGATGAGCCCTGGGGCTCTCCATTTAATCACAGAGGAGGAGGGCAGCAGATAAACATTATTCTCACTTCTCTGAAGAGAGTTAACCTGTGCAAGAATTGGGGACACAATAAACACACACACTCCCACACCATGAAGGGTCTCTGCCTCCTCCTCCTCCTCGGAGTCCTGCTCCTGTCCGAAGGAGTTCTGCATGCTGCTGCCAAACGTGAGTGCCTTGGTTCCTTCCCCTCATCTCTCCCCACTTCCCCAGGTTTAATTTGCTGAGATGGTGTGATCCCAACTATGCTGCTATTTTGAAATGTGTTTTGCTTTGGTTGCTGCAGCTCAGGGGTTGGGTGCTTTCAGGCTGCAGCCCACCCAGCTGGGGGTTATCTGCCTCTGTGGCTGCACATGTGATCTGAGCTGGGATAGGAATGAGGAGAGCTATTCTGCTACCTGTTGTAACACCCGGGGCAGGGTGACGGGCTGATGGGTCCTGAGCCTCTGTTGACCTCCCCACACCTCCGGATGAGACACACCAGCTCAGTGACTGGGACAACGAGCCTCTGCTGATTTCCCCACCTCTGGAAAAGTCCTCTGGATGTGACTCACCAATTCAGAAACAAGGGTCTCAGGGAGGAGCCCATTCCCTCTCCACACTGACAACGGGTCATGGATCCTGGGGAGGGGATTAAGTCTCTTTGGAATTCTCTCTCTCTTTTCCAGGTCTGACAGACCCTCTCGAGTACAGAGGGGCAGGACCGGTTGGGACTGAGCTATTGCTGACCTTGCAGGAGTCCATGGTTGACTTACTGGCTCAGGGATAAAGGTCTAGGGGTGGGGACTGAGCCTCAGTTGGCCTCCTTTCCCTTCCCTGGGCAACACACTGTCTCAGGGAATGCTGAACCTCTCCTCACCTCCCCATTTCTCCACCAGAGATAGCGTACAAGCTCAGGGATGGGAGCCCAACTGAGTTGGGAGCAGGGTGCACGAAGTGCCAGCTCCTCTTCCAATAGCACTAAAGTATGGTGTCATTATTAACAAGAATCACTTTCTTGGGTTTTATTATTAGACTGGCAGCTTTGGACTCAGTTGCTCCACATGTGGTAATGACTGACACTTGCTTATGAAAGCTGTGTATAGTTAAGTGGAGGAAAAAACTTCAATAAAGGCTCTTTTTTCTTACCCCTCAGTTCATCTCCATGTGGTTTAAAGGGACTGGTGCTGAAGTAGATGCTAGGGTGAAAAATGCCTCTTCCGTGTAATCCAAAAGCTTGTGAAACTTCTTATATTTGATTGAGATAAACAAATAACAAGCGAGTGAAGAAATGCCATAGGAGCTTACCTTGTTAGAATTTGTGATGGCCAAATTATGATTAGGGCTGATGGTTTGTCATGGAAAAAACATACAAGCCACAGTCCAGTCATGCAGGAAATGCCAAAAGTTGCAGGGCACTTTGTTTGAATCCAGATATTATCCATTTGGCAATAACAACTTGTTTCACATATTAAGCATGAGGTTGTGACTGGCCATAGGGAGAGTGCATGAAGAGGGAAGGGGGCCAGGAGTCTTCCCCAGCCCTCTACCCCCTTTGCAGAGGCCAGGCACAATTGCAGCCCTTGCATGCTTCTGAGGTCAAAGGCTGCTCCCTCCCAAAGACCTTGTAGGGCACAATTCCCCACAGAGCAGGGAGGGGCTAGCAGCAGCGCTGGCTGAGCACAGAGAGTGGTGCACACGGGACCAGTCAAAAGGAACTCCAGTCCAGCAGCAGCCTCAGTGAGTAGGAAGGCGGGTGGAAAAAAAGCAGCTGTTGCCTCTTCTTCAGCACTGCTTCCCTGCCTCCACCTCAGGCGTCACAGTGTTGTGCAGACACCGCTTCATCCAGCTATATCTGCATGGCGCCTTTTCTAAACTACAGAGAAGTGACAGGACCCCTGAGCACATAACACACCACTACAGGCACAGAGGCAGATTAAGATTTATTGGTGCCCTGGGAACAAAGAACATTTGGGCTCCCCTATACTCCAGGGCCACAGGGGTGCCAGAAGTGGTGCCAGCCTCTTCCCAGTGGGGGGCTGAGGTGGACTTTAACCCCCGCCTTGCCACAGGGCCTTGCCCCTTGCTCCTCCTCTTCCCACCATGGCCCCACCCCCTGGCCAGGCCGGAAGCCGGAGCTGGGTCATGCTAAGAATCACCCAGGGATCCGAGGCTGCTGTGGGGAGCTCTGGACCCTCCACATGCTGTGGGCAGTGTGCTCCGGGGGGCAGGGACATGGTCCAGGGGCTGCTCTCATGGCTTTCTGTGTGATCCATCCATAAAGCAGTCCTTTTCTTTATAAAGTGAACCAACTCCATGACTGCAGCGGTACGTCCAGCGATATGAACAATTTCTGCAAATTTCACAGTAAAAAATGCCTGTTGAAACTTTCTTCTCTTTAGCTAGATAAGATAATACAGCACAGCATCTAGAAAAATGTACAGATGGTCTTAATACTTTGGGATGTAAAATATTTCTTGCCAGGGCTTGAATAGGGACAGGGGGAAGTACGCTCTGGTCTCTTCTAAACAGATTACAGTGAGATGTGTGGGTATGTGTGTCCCAGGGACCCCATGGTGCCAACTGGGAGAGGGCACAACTGCACAAGGGGTGCATGAGGTTTTACAGGGATCCCCTGGGTCGGATATATGCATAATAGTTCACCAAAGGGTGGCATGTGAGGTCTCTACCGAGAGACAGTAGCCCACTGGTCATCATAATAATTGAGAAGCGTATGTACCAATAATAGCAAAGAAGTTATGTGTCTATACTGGAAATTATATTCTTAAGGTCTTGGAGTTAAGGTAGGTCATCAGGAGGTAACTGTTACTTATCTCTGTATCTGGCCATCTGTATATTGTGTATTGTGTGCCTCACAATGTATGCCTATTTGCATACTGAGCCAGATGCAAATTAAGACATTATAAAATCTACAAGAGAAGAATTCTTCAGGAAAAAAAAACAGCAAGAGGGGTCCTGTTTATGAATGAAGACAAAGGATTGTTCTAGTTCGTCTTGGGGTGCAAAGAGGCACAAGGAATCCTTCATCTAGGATCCAAACTGATGGTGTGCTTGTCTCATGAAAGGAGGGTCAAAGCCAGCCTAGCTGAAAAGTACTATAAGGATTCTCCACAAGACATGAAAGTATCTTGTTAATTAAATCTATGCTCAGAATGCATGTTATGATTTTGTTTTATATGTAACCATTTGTTTCCAACATTTCTACTCCCTTGAATCTCTTTCCTTTGTTGTCAAATAAATGTATACTAGATTTCACTATAAAAGTATCTAAGTGCTGAGTGTTAAGCACAAGAGCTGGGGGTGTACTGTTTCTTTGGACGCAGCGAATTTGTGAATACTGCAAGTGCCCAGTGGACCAGGGGCTGGACACTCCAGGGAGATGCTTGGGTGTGTCAACTGCTAACTTGTAGAGTGACAGCGGGGACTACAAGGCCTAGAGGGGAGTGTGTGTGTTGCCCATGGCTGGTAGACCTGGGGATCTGACCCATGGCAGGCACAGACAAGGTTTCCTCACACTAAAGACAGATGGTAGCAACATGCCTCTGGGTACCCTAAGAAGAGTCAGAGTATTCCATACCCACTTATAGAATCATAGAAATCCCCTAGAAGGGACTTCAAGAGGTCATCTAGCCATCCCCCCCACACTGAAGCAGGACCAAATATACCTGGACCATCCCTGGCAGCTGTCTAACCTGTTCTTGAAAACCTTCAGTGACAGGGATTCCACAACCTCCCTTGGTAACCTATTCTAGTCCTTAAATATTGTTACAGTTAGAAAGTTTTTCTAATATCTAACATAAATTTCCGTTGTTGCAGATTAAGCCCATTACTTCTTGTCCTATCTTCCATGGTTATGAGGCAAAACTGATCACCATCTCCTTTATAATAGCCCTTAATATACTTGAAGACTGTTATCAGTTCTCTCCCCCCCACAGTCTCCTTTTTTCTAGACTAAACATGCCCAGTTTTTTTAACATGTCTGCATGATAAACCTTTTATCATTTTTGTTGCTCTCCTCTGGACTCTCCAATTTGTCCACATCTTTCTTAAAATGTGGTGCCCAGAACTGGACGCAATAGTTCAGCTGAGGTGTCACTGGTGTTGAGTACAGTGGAACAATAACCTCCCATGTCTTACATATGACACTCCTGTTAATACACCTCAGAATGATATTTGCCTTTTTCACAACTGCATCCCACAGTTGGCTCATATTCAATTTGTGATCCACTATAACCCCTAGATCCTTTTCAGCAGTACTACTGCATAGCCAGTTATTCCCCATTTTGTACTTGTGCATTTGATTTTTCCTTCCTACGTGTAGTACTTTGCATTTGGCTTTATTTAATTTCATCTTGCTGATTTCAGACTAATTCTCCAATTTATCAAGGTTATTTTGAATTCAATCCTGTCCTCCAAAGTGCTTGCAACCCCTCCCACCTTGGCATCATTGGCGAATTTGATAAGCCTACTATCCACTCTATTGTCCAAGTAATTAATTAAAATATTGAATAGTAGTGGACCCAGGACAGACCCCCAAGGGACCCCACTAGATATTACCTCCCAATTTGACAGCGAACCATTAATAATTACCCTTTGAGTATGTTTTTTTAACCATTTGTGCATCCACCTTATAGTAATTTCATCTAGACTACATTTCCCTAGTTTGCTTATGAGAATGCCATGTTGAACTGTGTCAAAAGCTTACTAAAATCAAGATATATCACATTTACCGCTTCCCGTCTTTTCACTAGGCCGGTAACCATGTCAAAGAAGGAAATTGGGTTGGTTTGGCATGATTTACTACTGAAAAATCCATGTTGGCTATTACTTATCACTCTATTATCCTGTAAGTGCTTACAAATTGATTGTTTAATAATTTGTTCCAGGATCGTTCCAGATATCGAATTTAGGCTGACTAGTATACATTCCTGAGGTCCTTTTTGTTCCCCTTTTTAAATATAGGTACTGTGCTTGCCCTTCTCCAGTCTTCTGGGACCTCACCTGTCCTGTTCTTGAAGATAATCACTAATGGTTCAAAGATTGCTTCTGCTAGTTTAAGTACCCTAGGGTGAATTTCATCAGGTCCTGCCAACTTTGAATATATCTAACTTATCTAATATTCTTTAACCTGTTCTTTCTTTATTCTGGCTTGTGTTCCTTCCCTCTTGTTTAATATTAATTGTGTTAAGCATCTGATCACAATTAATTTTTTTAGTGAAGACTGAAGCAAAATAGGCATTAAACACATCAGCCTTCTTAGGCCTGATCTACACTGGGGAGGGGTGGGGGGGATCGATCTAAGTTACAGTAACTCCCCAATTAACGTCCTCTTGCTTAACGTTGTTTCTATCTTATGTCCCTGATCAATTACAGAACATGTTCCATTTAAAGTTGTGTAATACTTCGCTATAACATCATTTGGCTGCCTGCTTTGTCCACAGCTGCCAGTCCCCCATCAGCTCCCCTACGCCTTCCCCCCCCAGTACCTCCCACCCGCCGGCAGACCCCGCAGATCAGCGCCTTCCCCTTCCTCCCCCTGCCTCCTGCCTGCGGCAATCAGCTGGCTTGCGGTGTTCAGGAGGGAGGAGGGAGGGGGAGGAGCGAGGACTCGGCGCACAGTCTCCCCCTCCCTCCCCTGCCTCCTGAATGCCACAAACCAGCTGATTGCCGCAGGCAGGAGGCAGGGGAGGGAGGGAGGAGCCTGCGTGCCAAGTCGTCGCTCCTCCCCTCTCCTTGCCCCCTGAACGTTGCAAGCCAGCTGATTACCGCAGGCAGGAGGGAGGGGGGAGGAGCGAGGACACAGCGCACCTCCCACCTACCTCCCCTGCCTCTTGCCCGCAGCAATCAGCTGGCTTGCAGTGTTCAGGAGGCAGGGGAGGGAGGGGGGGCCTGCGCGGCATGTCCTCGCTCCTCCCACCCCCCTTCTGTTGAATGCTTCAGGTACCTTAGGTACTAAACTATAAGTAAAGCCCCAATCCTGCAATGCATTCCATGTAGGCAGATACCTATGTTCATGCGTGTTCCCATGGACTTTAATGGACGCAGGGGTCCACCTGTGTAGAACTCATTGCAAGATTGGGGCCTAATAGCTCACTATTACATTCCTAATGTCTCTTTTAATAATCACCTGTTGACAGTTTACATGTAACTTTTTTGGTTTATAAGCCACTGAAAATATTTTTAAAAGTTCTGAGAAAGTATAAATGAGCAAAAGAAGGGCTGGAAAATGTTCATCCATGTGATCTTATCCCTCCAAGAACCCTTTCATATAACTGGAACATGTCCTAAAGTAAGGAAAGGATGAAATATGTATAGCCTAAATTCAGAGGAATTTCCATTGTCAATAGACTGGAAGACATAAGCTTTGTTTATAATGATAAAGTTCCAAGCACGTCCATCGATTAAGAGTTTTGCGTTCAGTGCAAGAATTTAGTATTGTGAAATGGAGCAGTGGAAACATTCATACTTTATGTTGCTCATATTTCTATCTAGAGTTTCGAGATGTGATGAGCCATGGAAGATCTTCTTCTCATGTCAGGTCCCATAAGAAGCTACATGGCTGGTCTCCTGATCAAAATCAGTGGAATGAAAAGCTTTATCCTTTCTGGGAAAAAGGAGATCCTAGATGGAAGGACTGCTGGAGAGGTAGGTCTAGATATGAAATCCTAAAGCTCTGGGAAATGTAGCCAGAAATTCTATACGATAGAATAGAATGTTATAGATAGTGCATTTTTGTACTGTACATATCCCCAAATTGCTCTACACAGTAATGCGCTAGATAATAGTACTTAATACATTGTCTGACGAAGCAGCCATGGCTGCCATTACAAAATCGGCTCAGTAATAATTCACAGCCTCAGATATTAAAAACTGGTTTATTGAAAAGGAACGTTAGCCAGGCCACTGGGAAAATCCCCTGTTCTCCGTGAAAAGCGCCAGTAGGTTGGGATCTTCAACTTCCACCCCAAAGGCACATCACTGGATCAGTTTAACACTTTCTATGAAGAACCAGCACATTGTATGGCAGTTTTATCACCACTGGTTATGAGCCCAGGACTAAAGGCTACACCTTCTGATAGAGACAAAAGAGCTGTCCTCTGGAATACGCTGCCTCTTTTGTGTACAAATCTGATTCTAGTTTATAGTAGAGGAATGTCTAGAGAACAGTTGACTTCAATTGACTGCAGTGTAGCTACACTGATTTATATTGGCTTAGAATCTGGCCCAATAAATCTAATTTATTGGTATAGTTTTGGATTTTGAAAAGCACCTTAGTGACTTAGGATCACAAATTCCACTGAAAGTACATGAGACTTGTGCCTCAAAGTTACATAGCACTTTTAAAAAAAAATCATACTAATAATTTCCAATTGGTCTTCTCCAAACTATTTAAGTAAAAAGTTTCTAATTTTTGTTGTTCTGGTTAGATATTAAGGGCATGCAGTAGCTCAGATGATTAAATGCAGGGCAAAATAGAGTCTTCAGGAAGGTCACTACAATGGAGCATAGTATGTTTTAAGAAGTGATAGAGACACTTAGGGTCATCTCCTCAGCAAGTGTAGATAGGTGTAGCTCTTTTTGCAGCCAATAGAGTGATACCAGTTTATGCAGCTGGGGGTCTAGCTCTTACAGTCTTTTTAATAAGTTTAACATGATTTTTTTGTTTACATTGTGCACAAATAAAAATAATAGCTACTCAAAAAGATTGATGTATAAATGAAATCTTATCTTAATTTCTTCAGGAGGAAAGGTGGTGGCCAGATTGACCTCTGACAGCCCAGCTCTAGTAGGATCAAATGTGACCTTTACTGTGACCCTACAGTTTCCCAGGTGCCAGAAAGAAGATAATGACAGCAACATAGTATATGACAGGAACTGCAGGAATGGTAGGTAACAATAATACCCTTATATTATGAACAAGTCTGGCAAGAGTACTGGTGCATTTGTGGTCTACAAAAGTGTCATGAACACTTGGAACCATCAGCATTCTGCTTCCAGGCTGCAGTTCTATCCCTGTTAAATTGAGAACTACAATAATGTCTGACTTGTGTCACACAAAAGGTCCTTGTTCAGAAGATGATTGTCTTATTTTTACCCATCTGCACCCCCTACATATAATGGCCAAGAACTTTAAATGGATTTTTTTCCATTACAAAATGTTTTAATCTGGCTCCCAGAAAAAACGTTGCTGCTCAGCTCAGCTGCAAGTTTGCCCAGTCACTGGACTGAATACTGGCATGTTATATCAGTAATATGGGTTTTTCTAACTGGATTTGTAAAACTGAGACTCTTCAATAAGGAGTTTAGAGTTCACTAAATAACATCTTTATATGGCTACCTCCCAAGGAAGAGCAGATCTTACATTACTGATATTTCAAAAATAAAAAACAAGCAGGGGAAAATATCTTTTTAAAATAAAAAACGTTTTTGGCCTTCGTTATACCTCTTAAACTAGGAAAAAAGGTCATAAACCCAATGTTTTTATTTGCTGCAGCTTGGCACAAATAAACCTTTGTTCCAACGTCCAGATAGATTAAATAACACTTTCTACCGATCAATTTCAAGAGATGTCAATCACTACTTGAATAGCATAGTTTCTACTTACTTCACAGTGTAATGACTGAAATGCTTGTATCTCTCCTATGCTTACTAATTTTGTGCTTTTCCAATGAAGAAACATATATTTTTCTGATTCTAGTGGTGCTTGCAGTTTACATGGCACTTATTTAAAAATGACACAACTGGCTCGTCTGACAAACGAAAGAAAGAAAAATAAAGAGCAAGCCAAATTCTACTGAGAGTTTCACAGCTGCAGCTCCCATTGGGCCAGAATGCACGTGGAACCCCACTGACCTCAATGAGACGGCATTGTCCTAAGGGGCTGGCAGCAGAATTTGGACCAACAGCTTCAATTGGCATCTTCTCTGTGAGCCAACAGAATTCTTGAAAACAACTACATTTTTTCGTTGGAATAAAAACATACCAAGCAGCAAATATCTAGGATTATAATTAGAAAGAACAGAGGAATTGTGATGTAGTGAACATTAGTCTGAAAATGCCCTCTCCTCCTGCTCCATATTTAAAAACGACCGAAAAACAATATTGTGGTTTAAATGTAATAAATGTTCTGCTTTGGTGGTGTAAATTCTCTGGGCATGATCATATCCACTGAAGTTAATAGGTATTTTTCATTGACTTCAGTGCAATCAGGACTGGGTCCCATGTCTTCGGCCTTGTTCCTCATGATGCACCATAGGCATGTGGTTCCCACATCTTTACATAACCCAGTCCTTGTTATTTGCTTATGTACAATAGTCCAGACAGTTTCATGAGCACCTAACTGAGGCACAACATGAGCTTTCACTTAATCTGTCTTAATACTGTGCTGGGAAAAAGGGGTCTTGTGGTTAAAGCACTGGACTGGAACGCAGGATATCTGCAGTCTGTGTCCGGCTTTAGCACAGACTTCCTGTGTGAGCTTGGGCAAGTCATTAAGCATGTGGTGCTGTAGTGCCTACTATGAAATTGAAATAATAATACCTCCATTCCCTGCCTCACTGAGTCATTGTAAAGATAAGTTAATGGACGTGTCTGAGGATCTTTGTTGCCATGAATGAGCCCCATAGAAATAAAGAAGGGGAAACATTCCGCTTTTATATAAAAACACTTATAAATTTGCCACTTAATAATCTGTGATCTATTTCTACACCTAGATTCCTCAGACTTTCCTGACCAGTATGTCTACAACTGGACTAAGTGGATTGATGACTGTGGCTGGGAAAACTGCACAAGCAACAATACCCATAATGTGTTCCCAGATGGGAGACCTTTCCCTCATCATCCTGGCTGGAGAAGGAGGAACTTTGTCTATTTGTTTCATACAGTTGGTGAGTCCAGTAAAATGTCTCTTGGTTTTGTGTCCTAACTTGTTTCCCTAATGCCGTGCATTACAATCCCCAAAGAGGAATTTAACAGTTGTTGAGTGAGAGAATACTAAACACATTCCGAGCTGCTCAGCGAGAATAGCAGCTGCTCTGTTAATTCCTCTGAGGTTTGGAAGTCATATACTACCATGACATGTTCTGTAAGACTGCAAATGCACAGAGCTACCACTGTTGAAAAGAACTCCTTTCTCAATCACAATTTGGATAGACCATTTAGAGGAAATCTTCAGGGCAAAGGGGGAAGCCAGATGATTTAGTGATTAGCACTACCAAGTAGCAGTCTGAGGTTCAGGAGTGATCTTGTGCCTGTAGGTCCTCAGACTGGTTTCTTCACCTCTAGAAAGAAGGTGCAATGTGCATTTTGCTTCAGCACTCCTAAGCTGGCTGAATATAGTTCTGTTCTTGTCCTGGTTGTGACTTCCAGCAACAGAGTGTGTAATAATTGGCCCATCCCTGCTATTAGGGGTACCATATGTCCGTATTTTCCCGGACATGTCGAGCTTTTTAGTTCTTAAATTGTCATCCGGGAGGAATTTTTAAATATCTAAAAACGTCCAGGAAAATACGAACATATGGTAACCCAAAGTCCCAGGGCTGGCGGCACTTCCAGGAGCCTGCACTGTGGACGGCCCCATGGCACAGAGGCGGAGGGGGTCTCCGTGTGCTGCACCAGCTCCCTCCTGCCCAGTCAGAGCTGTGGGGGTGGGGCTTGCAGGCGCCAGAAGCAGGCAGAGAGCCCTCCAACACCCCCCCCCAACCCAAGCCAACCCTAGGAGCCAGAGGGATCTGCCAGATGCTTCCCGGAAGCCACCCCAGGTAAGCACCGCCAGGACTCCCCACCTTGCCCCCCGGCAGGTCCCTCTGGTTCTTAGGGTTGGGTCAGGTATGGGAGGGGCAGAGGGCTCTCTGCACGCTGCCGGTGCCTGCAAGCCCTGCTCCGCGGCTCCGGCAGCTCCCATTGGCGCTTTTCCCGGCCAATGGGAGCCACGGAGTTCGCGCTTGTGGTGGGCGCAGCACGTGAAGACCCCTTGGCTACCCCTGATCCTAGGAGCCAGAGGGACCTGCAGCAGGAGGGGTGAGTAGGCAAGCAGGGCGGGGTGAAAAGGGGAGCGGTGAGCAGCGGCGGTTGAGTAGGTGAGGGGTGAGTAGGTGAGCGGGGGTGTGAAAAGGCCAGCGGGGGGCAGAGGGGGTTGAAGAGGCGAGCAGCGAGGGAGCCAGTGGCAGGTGGGCTGGCAGGGGTGAGGAGGCAAGAAGTGGCGAGCCAGTGGCAGGCGGGGGTTCTCGGGGCAGGCATGGGGGTTTCTGGCAGGGGAGTGAGGAGGTGAGTGGCAGGTGGGAGGAGGCGAGCAGTGGGTGGGGGACTGAGGAGGGACGCAGCAAGCCAGTGGTGGGCCGGGGGTGAGGAGGGGTGCAGTGGCGGGGCCGAGCGGGGAGGAGGCGGGACCTGGGGCAGAGTGGGGGCGGAGCATGGGAGGACGGGGGGTGGACTGTGAGCGGGGCCGACACCCTCCGTGGAGTGTCCTCTTTTTTGAATGTTCAAATATGGTAACCCTACCTGCTATTGACTACACTGTAAATCTTAGGCTCCTAACTTTGACTGGCAAAATTATTTTAGGTATTAATCTAATTTAGTTGCATTGGGGAGATGAAGGTGCCTTGGCAAATGCCTTTTCTTGGATCGGTGGGAGCAGGCACATCTTTCTAATGCTTTTGGCTGCTTTGCTGAAACTCAGAAAAAAATACTTAATGGCAAGGAACATAACAATGACATGAAGTGTGTTTGAAAAGTACATTTCACACAAATGAAGGATGAGCATAAAATATACAATTTTGATTTAGACAATCCAAAATTTCACAGAAATGCTGCTTCTCTTTATAAAACTTTTTCTATCTCATCACAAGAGGAAAATATGAGTTCATGTCCTGTTCACAGGCCAGTACTACCAAAAAACTGGAGGCTCTTCAGCAATTGTTTCCATCAACACAACAAATATCACCCTTGGCAAACAGATGATGGTGGTCTCTGTTTACAGAAGAGGTCATCGAACATATGTTCCAGTTGCAACAGCAAGTGGCATCTATGTTGTGACAGGTGAGTGGGCTGGACTAAACCACAACTAAATACTTGGCAGTGTTTGTAGTGGAGATGTTACATAAATGCAACTAAAGTGCTATCTGGGAGAGTAGGGAGGGATATAAAGAGGGATTGGAACAAGTGATGCTTTTAACTTTCATGTGAAATCTCTAATAGGCTACCCGAAACAGTATGGAATAAGTCCTCTTAGCAGACTTGTTAAGAGTTAGTTGAAAAATGTGTCCTTAACTATAGATATTATCACTGCAAATATATAAGTAGGGATGGAAATGAATTATGCTAATAATATTTATCCAGAACCCTATAGAGAGTACTTTTTTTAATCTATCTACAACATCTGATACTCCAGAGTCTTACCTCATGCTATCCTGCAATTTGACTTGTCCCAAATAAAATTTAAGATCAATTTCTACTTATTGTTCTTTGTCTGAAATGTTTGAATAAGCAACAGAAATCTGTGGTGTACATAAACTAACTTACCTTTCATACGGAATGTGAATCTAAGCTTAAACCTATGGACATAATGCAAATTGCCCTTTATTTTGTCTGCATCCCACATGCATCCCTAGTACTAATAGTCCAAAGAAAAGAAATTGGAGGGACTTCCTGACCCTTTCTCTGGATGAAATTCATCACCCTTCTCTGGATGAGGCTGGCTAACGTATTCCAGGGATTATTTCTATCCCTTCATTCTAGCTGTCTCTTAAATTTAAGTAGCCCACCAACATCAACCCAAATGCACACACTGCAACAGTTCAGTCAAGGGATCCTTTTTGCACCACTGGAACAGACAAACCAATTCTTGCACATGGAGTATAAGACTTGCTCACTATACCTCATTCTCAGGCTCTCATTATCTGTGATCTAGACAATCTCAGATAAAATAATGGCGAAGGCGAAGTATCTTATTCACGAAGGGCCACACTCTGACACTCTTGCTCATGCTGAGTAGCAACTTTCGCCACAAGTGGTCCCATTGAAGCCCATGGGAGTTTTGTCATTGACTTCAGTGGTCGCAGGATGAGGTCCTATAATGTCCCCCAACCCAAATTCACTAAATCTCCTTAATGAATTGAGTTTCAAGGGTTTTTCCTCCTCTTTTGTACTGGGGGGGGTGGGGGGGAATATGTAGGAAATTACAAAAGGACCTTTAGAAACACAATTGATGTAATAAAGATACTACTGAAAAGCAAATGTTTTGCTTTCTAAATGCATCAGATTGCACCAAATGGCAGGTATAGAACAATATTAATGGGACAGGGAACCTCCAGATGACTAGATATAAGGTCTTCAGTAGATGCACATGACTCTCTACCTGGTTGCAGTGTTTCACTTTATTACTGTAATCTATTGAAAAGTGAGTTAAAGAAGAAACCTGTAAAAGAAATTAAGCCTGGCAGTTAACATGATGCAGGCTTGTGTTTTACACTGTGACCTTTGCAGTCTGAGGGCTGTGAAGCAGTCTGTTATTTGCATCCATATACACGTGCTTCACTTCCTTTCATTTTTCCTGCAGACCAGATTCCTTTATATGTGAACCTGTCCCAGAAGAATGACCGCAATGCCTCAGACTCTGTCTTCATCAAGGATTCTCCTATCACATTTGATGTCAAGATCCATGATCCCAGTCACTACCTTAATAATTCTGCGATCTCCTACAAGTGGGATTATGGAGATGGCAGTGGCTCATTTATATCCAACAGCCCTATTTCAACTCACACTTATACGCTGCAGGGAAACTTCAGCCTGAATTTGACCGTCCAAGCTATTATACCTGTACCTTGTGGGCCTGCAACACCTACCCCACCACTTCCTACCTCGCCAGGTAAGAGTCTGTCAATCAATAGGAATATTAGGAAATAAACTAATAATAATCATTAATAGACCAACATTTTGGTTTTTAAAAATTACATACCTTTAAAAGCTTTATGGTCATCAAAGTTGGAGCTACACAGTTTTTGAAAACATAACATATTTACACTTACTTAAGAGTCTGAATCAATAACAGGATTCATAGATTCATAGATTCATAGATTCTAGGACTGGAAGGGACCTCGAGA